TTGTAACTCTCATAGCCACCTTATAAGTTTGCTCTGAGCCTCCCATTTCACAAACCAGACCAAAAACCATACTCACTGCCATCAAATTATTTCTGACTAATCAAGACACTATATAGGACAAGAGTAAGGGAATAGCACATCTCCTTTTTCTCTCAAGGGGAGGCTAGTGTTTTTGAACTGCTGACCTTGAGACTAGTAGTCCAATTCATCATCCACTATACCACTCAGCAAACAAACAACAAACTCACTGCCATCGAGTCAATGCTGACCGATAGAAACCCCTCTGTGGGTTTCTGAGACTGCAACTGTTTATGGGAGTAGAAAGCCCAGTCTTTCTCCTGCAGACCTGCTGCATCATTAGGGCTCCTGCAGTTCACATACAGAACGTGGAAAGTTTAAGAGGTAAAGTGAGCTGCCCAAGGCTGCATAGATAATGAGTAGAAGAGTTGACCTCCCTGTCCAACTGGAGTCACGTCTGCGTATTCTTCAACAGCACGCGATGCGGGTTGAGGAAGGTTATTGTTGTTAGGTGCCATTGACTGGTTTCCCACACATAGCAACCTGTTACACAACTCAACAAAACACTGCCCAGTCCTGGACCATCCTCACAGTGGTTGTGTTTGAGACCGTGGTTGCGGCCACTGTGTCAGTCCATCTTGTTGAAGGTCTCCCAAACAGTACAAGAGCACCAGTGGAAGAGGCTACGTGCAAGCTCCTGGATGCCGCTGTGAGTGGGCAGATCCCATCGGATGCTGCATTCTAGAGATCTGTGTGCCGAGCAAGGGAGGGGCCAGCCTCACTATTCTGTATGGGCAGAGGCCATCCGAGGTATTGGGCTTGATTCTGGGCCCCCACTCTAAATGAGCATTCCTGAAACACCTGAAATTCATCCAGAGATGAATGTCAGACCTGCTGAAATGTCTGAGAAACATGTTTGTAGGACTGTTAAAATTGAAGTCACCCAAGTGAGATTTCTTACAGGGGGTTGACTAGCGAATATTGGAAGGATTATCACATGGTGGAAGACTAGATACCATTTTTATGGGGCCAGAAGGAGCCCGGTGGCAGAGTGGTTATACATTAGGCTGCAACCTGCAAGGTCAGCAGTTTGAAACTACCGGCTGTGCTGTGGGAGAAAGACGGGGCTTTCTACTTTGGGGAAGAGTTACAGTCTCAGAACCTCACAGGGGCAGTTCTACCCTGTCCTATAGGGTCTGTATGGATCAGCATCGATCCGATGGCCATGGGCGAGTGTAGCTCTAGACTATGGAAGTACTAGACCTGCACATATACAGAGTTAAAAACGTCATCACTTTGGATCCACACAGGGGGTAAGGCTACAGCTGCTTGAAGTGTTGTAGAAAGGAAATGGGTATCCTTATAAGATAGCTCATTCTTTTCCAATAAGAAGCTGAATATCCACTTACCTCAAGTGTGGAAGAAAAAAATGTCTGTGTCAGGTGCGGCAGTTCTTAAGCTTGGGTGGATAGGAGAATCACCTGGGAGAACTTGCGAGAGAGTTCCAGGCCTCACCTTTCAAAGTATTGTTTCAGTAGACCTGAGGAAGGTCCGAGAATCTCCATTAGTAACCTACAACCTAAGGGGTCCAAGTCAGATACACTGTGACCCACAGCTGGAGAACAAGGGCACTTAGTCTTCAAATACACATTTTAGTAAAATCATTGCGTAGTCCCACACATAGGTATGTAAGTTTGGCAGAGGAGATGTCTACCTGTGTATTTCTATTTGCTATAAAGATATCTATGAATACTGTCAAGTATGCAGGGGATAAAGTTCTGAAAACTCCTTAGCCTGAACCAAACACCTTGAAGTAAAGAGTTGCTGGTGTTGGGATCTCAGGACATAGTCTTGGGAGGTTACCAAGGTCAACTGGCATGACATAGATCACAGAGACAAAGTTGAAAAGGCTACTTTGCTGTGTGAGTCATGACCGAGGCCTTAAATGCTTGTGAAGGGCCACCTAAGGCATATTGGTCTCTCATTGTCTGGAGCAGGCATCCTCAAACTACGGCCCACCAGGTGTTTTTCCCCCATTTGTTTTTTTACTTCAAAATAAGATATGTGCAGTGTGTATACAAATTTGTTCATAGTGGGGTTTTTTTAAAAATATAGTCCGGCCCTTCAATGGGTCTGAGGGACAGTGAACTGGCCCCCTGTTTAAAAAGTTTGAGGACCTCTGATCTGGAGCAATGAAGAATGAAAACAAACAAACCAACCAAAGATGCAAGGAAACAATTGGTCTAAAGGACTCATGGGCATTCAAACACCAGCTGCATGACTCTGAGACCAGAAGCACTAGAATCCAATGGTTCTCAACCTGTGGGTCTCGACCCTTTTGGGGGGTCGAACAACATGGGGGAGGGTCACCACAACATGAGGAACTGTATTAAAGGGTAGCAGCATTAGGAAGGTTGAGAAGCACTGCGCTAGATGGTGCCCTGCCACCAAGAGTGACCATTCTCAAAGGGCCATCATAGGAGGCCCTGACTAGAGTAGAAGAAAAATGTGCATGAAAACTCCAAATGATGCCTAAAACCAGACTTGCTGATCTGATAGAGATTGGCAGAGCCCTGATATCATGGCCTTTAGACATCCTTCAAGACTCAACCCTTTGGCTCAGGTTTCAGCCAAATAATAGTCTTATATACCAATCTCACCTGGGGGGTATACACTCCTTAGAATAATTAGCCGTATGAGATCCAAAGGGCAGCATTTGCCCAGGGATAAAGCCCAGAAGGCAGGAAAGGATCGGAAAGAAATTAGAGTGGCCACAGGACGCGCTGGGAGGGAATGTGGAAGAGGATTGCATCAGGACACAAAATGTGTCTGAATTGCTAAATGGAACACCCACTTGCTCTGTAAAACTTGCATCCAAGTCACAATAAATGTCTGTAGTCAACCTAAGAATGTCAAAGAAAGCCATTTAGGCTTGGTAAAGAATTCAACGTAAAATTCCTTAGAAAATTGACAGTTATCATTAGATATGAAATGATTGGCATGTAAGACACAGGATATGGAAGAAGATTTGATTCTTAATGTACGTTTCCAAAGAAAAGACTAACAGAAAAATACAAACGGTAAATCCACCCTAAAACGCTTAAATAAAGTTTAGATTACAATCCAAAATAAAATTTAAAATAAAATCAGTAACCCCGTCTATGCATGCCAAAGAGCAACGTGTTGAAGACCTGGTAAAAAGCTATCGAGTTATCCTAATGGTCAGCACCTGTTTCAGGTTAAATGCCTATTAGCCTCTGGGGGCTAGTTCTATATAAACTTCCACTGAACTCTAACAAAGCACGTGTAGGTAAGAGGTGGAGACAGTTAAACTCCCTCTGTCCCTCCTTTTTTTTTTTTTTTTTTTTAATTTTTTGCTGTGGCTGAATCGCTTTTGCTGGTAAGTGAAATGCATGCATGGGGGATCTTTTGCTGAACTTTGGTCAATCTTTTATAAAAACTGTATTCTGAGATGCTTTTGCTCTCTAAATATATTTTTGAAACAATGCTGGTTGGTATAATTTATTACCTCATCGGTAGTACCTTTCTGAGTTAAATTGCATAATGATGTTTCACTTTTTTGTAAGCACATGACAATAAAAAAATATACACATGCATCTATATTGCTTTCCTTTGAAAAATGTAAAAAAAACAAACAACCCCCCAAAACCCCAAAACTGACTGGTTGAGGAATTGGTGTTCTCGACAAATTATTTTGTGATTGATGGTGTTGAAATGATTAGTTCCTCCACTAAGGACTTCCTGCCAGCAAATTAATTTTTTGCTTTCAATTTAAGACCTATGAAAGTTCCAAGCGGTAATTTGATGTTGATAACAAGTTAAATCCTTGTTTCTCTCGCATTTCGTCTTGCCTTTTAATGGCCGACAGTTCTCATAGACTTTCCCCCTCCTTGAATCATGAGAGATGAAATTGCAACAACGGTGTTCTTCATCACAACAATGGCCAAGAGGCATGAGAAACTGAGCAAACAGCAAATCGACGACTTTGCAGAAAAACTGACGATCATCTTGCTAGAAACCTACCGGTGTCATTGGCACTCTGACTGCCCTGCCAAAGGACAAGCCTTCAGGTGAGAACGACGACAAGATTTTGTCAATGAAAGTCACAGCTGGATGGGGTAAGATATGGTAAAACAATATAATTTGTAAATTATCAAGGGTTCAGGGGGAGGGGGGAGGGGAAAGGGAGGGGGAAAATGAGCTGACACCAAGGGCTCAAGTGGAAAGTGGGGGTTGTGAGAACGATGAAGTCAACATCTGTACTAATCTGCTGGACACAAATGACGTATGCACGGATTGTGATGAGTTGTATGAGCCCCCTAATAAAATGATTATTTAATAAAAAAATATTTTAAAAAGAAATGAATAAAAATAGAATAAAAAAAAGTCACAGCAGGGCGGCCACCTGCTGGGAAAACCCATGGTCCTGCTGCCTGTCTATAAGGGGGCTAACGCTTTATGGGCACAGATCTGGACTTGACAGAAAGAGGGGTGTGGTAGGTGTCATGGCAACAGGACACAGCAGAGCACATCCACAATTTTCTCTTGTGTTTGTCATGAAAAAGAAACAGGGAACATTGGGCTGTTGTGTGACTCTGAGTGAGCTAGCAGCACACATTCTGAGGACTTTAGAAAGATGGTTTGCTTGTAAAACTGTAGGAGGGGCCAGGGAGGGGAGTGTTGGCAGGTGGGGGTGCAGGGAGGGGCTGTGCGCATTGGATCGGTCTGCCCACAGCATGACCTCTTGCCAAAGCACATGTCCTTGTTTCCCTTTCCTTGTTAAAGGTGCATCAGGATAAACAATTATCAGAATAAAGACCCCATTTTAGAAAGGGCTTGTGCCGAAAGTCATGTGGATTTTTTTCACCTGGGACTTCCAAAGGAGATGACCATCTGGGTAGATCCCTTTGAAGTGTGCTGTAGGTGAGTAGCCTAATCTCACTGGAGCTGGAACTTGGGTGGTCTGGAACCCCTGAACACCTTAAATTATTAAGTCAGCCCTATAGACCTTTGTAGGAGTCCCCTGGGTGATGCAAATGGTTAGCAGGCTTGGCTGTTCACCCAAAAGTTGAAAGTTTGAGTCCACCCGGAGGTCTCTAGAGAGGCCAGTCCCTGGAGAAGGACATCATGCTTGGTAAAGTGGAAGGCAGGGAAAAAGAACCAGGTCTTTGACACAATGAAGGGACAATGGACTCACACATAAGGACAATGGTGAGGATGGCGCAGGACCAGGTGGTGTTTTGCTCTGTTGCACACAGGGTTGCTCTGATGACACTGGGTTGATGGCACCTGACAACAGAGGTGCCTTGGAAGAAAGGCCTGGCAACCTATGGCCTAAAAACCAGTCATGGAAAGCACTAGGGAGCCCAATTCTCTGACCTACACGGGGTCACCAAAGTCAAGAGGCAAGTCCATGGCAACTTGTGTATAGATGTTTGTGGGAAAATATGCGCCAAAGCCATGAGCCTCTCTAGCAGTGAAGGCACTGGCTAGCTAGCAGCCGAGATGTAAATTTTGATCTCGGGACTTACCTTAGGAGCACAAAGCAGAATTTTAAAACTGTATTTGCCATTTAACTTGAGCCACTATGCCCTATTGCGAACTGTAGATCATAAATCTCTAATGAAGGCAGTATGGAGGGGCAGTCAAAGAAATGATATCTGATTGGACAACTCAAAACAATTGAGTCTTTCTTTCCACAGATAACCAAAAATAGCTCTTGAAGAATCCTCTCACTCACCAATCGTGACGATGCAGGAGTCAAAAACCAAAATACCACTCCATTCATTTTGTTCTCAAGCCTCTTGACTGTCTACCGAGGGCACTCTGTTGACCAGCTGAGTGTTAGTGTGCTGTCTGTAGAGGGAGATTATTTGTGAGACGTGGAATTCCTAGCAGGTGCATTTCTTTTCCTTTCTTACTTAGGTATGGTGAGAGAAACCACCCATTTACAATCGCTTCTTTTAAAAGCAAATGGGAGGGATGGGAACTCTGTCGAAGAATCAGTCACATTGTTGATCGAGCCACAGTAGAGTGCTCCTCTGGCGCGTCCTCTGATGAAGAAAGTTTCGGCAAAGCACCTCGGCTCATTCCCAAAGTGAGCAACCCAAACAGCATTTATCAGGTAAAGCATTTTCCAATTTTTCTATTCTAATACTAAAAAGATTATGCTCACTGTAAAGACAAACACACAAAACAACGAGCCAAGAGAAAAACCCATAAGAAAAAAATTTTAATTTACTGTTAAAATTTTGATATATATTTTTTTCCATATGTATTCTCCCTATTTGGCTCTGAGGTTTGGGATCTACACAATGTTCTGTAGCGCCATTTTTTCCATGGAGTATCTAAGTGTACACATATTTTCTTTTACTAATGTATCTTCAGACTTGAATCTTAAAATTTTGTGAGGTTTTGTTTTGTTTAATAGAAGAGAACGTGTCACTTGTAGAAAACTTAAAATATTCAGAGAAGGTCAAAGGTCTATAATTCTTTCACCATTAAAGTTCTTTGGGGAAAAAAGGATTAGCACTACTCATAGAAAGATACATTTATATCTTATCTGAAATGGGTTTCATGAAAGAACAGTTACCTGTATTAGGCCCAATGTCCCCAACACTTTCCACTAGATTATGAAGGAACTTTAAAAAGTTCATTTAAAAAATCCATTTTTCCCCACAAACTTTTTTCAAGCAAACCTTAAAAAATTTAAGTTTTATTGACCCATAATTCAGATACAGTTTAGTAGTTTAAAGATATTAAGTGTTATAAAAATCATCCCTATAATCAATTTTAGAGCATTTTCTTCTTACTTGTACTCATTATTGTTAGCTCTCCATTTCTCCCCCAACTTCCCCTGCCATAAAACAAAGAAACTATTAATCCAGTTACTGTTTCCATAGATTTACGTATCCTGGATTTTTATATAAAGAACAACAACAAACAAACAAACAAAATCCAACAAGAATAAAAAAATAAAACATTGAAAAACCTCAGGCGTGAAAAGAGAACAGAAAATAATAAAAATTAGAACACTTTTAAAAGGCCTCAAAAAGGAGAACAAGGGATAAGTTTAAATTAAAATTTAACTGTATCTACATTAGTCCACTTTCCAATACACACTTTGATCTCCAGGTTATTCACATCCTGGTCAATGTTCAAGGAGTTCACTGGAGGTTTAGTCCAAGTGCAGATCCTGCAAATGGATTTTGGGTTTTCACTGTCATCCAAAGCCTACTGAAAAAATGGGTGCTCAGAATTTAAGCTCTCATACCATTTCCTCCTCTGATCTTGGATCACACAAGCTGGGCGTGTTTCTTCTGTGTGGACTCAGCTGTCACCTCACTTAGATGGCTGCTTGTTTGAAGACCAGCCTTTAAGACCCCAGGCACTATTTTTTTTTTCCCTGATAGCTGGGCACCATCTGATTTCGTCACCACACTTTGCTTTTAGCACTAATATTGTCAGTGATCTTTTCATGAGGGCAAGTATCGAGCAGTCAAGCCCTCTTATGTATTGATTATTTCAACCACCTAAACCAATGTGAGTTACATTTTGGGCTGTTAACCCTGAGGTTGGTTCAAACCCACCAGCCACTCCTCAGCAGAAAGAGTCTGTCAGTTCCTGTAAAGATGTGCCGTCTAGGAAACCCAAAGGGGCAGTTCTCTGTTCTGCAGGTTTACTATTAGTCAATGACTCACGAATCAACTCAAGGGCAAACTGATTTCATGAGACAATAGGGGATACAACCCACAATGTAAAAATAACATTCTTCTAGGAGGATTTCTCTTTTAAAATGTTGTGTGTGTATACACTTGTTTGTATGTTTCTTTAAACTCACATATTAAAATGTCAATGTAGTTTAATTAACATTTTCATATTTATTTGTCCCTCTGTGATTTAGACAATCGGTTATTGGCAGGTATCTACATTATTTTTCACACTGTTGTGATATAAAAAAAGCTTAAAACATAGAAATGTCTGAATTTTACGTTATCTCTTGAGATTTGATTCTCAAATAATAATTCTTAGAATTATTAGGTCATTGGGCATGTGTATTTTTTGTTTGCTAATATATGGCCAAAGTAACTTCCAGAAAGTATAATTATATGTAGAAAGTACGTTTTACAGCCCCCCTCCGACTTGGGAATTTGATAAGTTGATTTTAAAATGATATCTATATTATGAATGCTATCTCTATTACTAATAACATGTATGCCCTGTGCCCCATGTTTTGGTACTTATTACTATCTTATGAATTTCCTCTTCACTCATTCATCATTTGAGACCCAATGTGTTATTATCGATTATTCTTAAATCAAAGATTTTAACCCATTGTCCTGTTAGGGGCAAATATTTTCCCTAGTCAGTTTTCTAAATGAATTTTTCTTATGTACAGATGTTTAGAAACATGCAGTTGTACTTGCCCTTGGCTCATTTTTATGTTTAGGAAGGCCTTATTCCATCTCGGGTTCAGATCTGGAGTCCCCTGTGCTCTTTGAGGGCGGTCCAGGTGTGTTCTATGACACCTCTTTCTCCATCACCTCACTCACTGCCCAAATTCGCTGTTGTGGGGTCTATTCTGACTCACAGCGCCCCTAGAGGACAGGGCAGAACTGCCCCTGCAGGTTTCTGAGACTGTAACTCTATGAGAACAAAGAGCCTCATCTTTCTCCCTTGGAGTAGCTGGTTGTGTTGAACTACTGACCTTGTGGTTAGCAGCCCAATACGCAACCCACTGAATCACCAGGTCTTGAATGTTTAAAATGGATTTTGTCAGCCTCGGCATGAGTGATCATGATTAGTCAGTTTTGGGCTGGGTGAAGCTAGGGGAATGGAAAAACCCAAGAACACACACATAAATATATAATAAAATGGGCTTTAAGATATTTTGTCAAGATAAAATAATTTTGATAAATGGTATAGAGTGACTTTGAAATTTCTGAGTGTGATACAAATGGTTAATACACTGCTATGGACAGGTTGGAAGCTCAAACCTACCCAGGGTTTCCTCTAAAGAGAAGCCTTGCTGGTGACCCACTCCTTAAGTAATCAGCCATTGGAACCTGGAAGCACGGTTCCATTCTGACACACGCGGAGTCTCAATGAACCGGCTGGCGTGGCTACAACCGGTGGGATGAGGGGACTTAACATACCCTTCCCCCGGCCTTTTCCGAGGTGGTTTTTATCAACTCTGGTGCTTGGTGCTTACTTAGTTTTCATTTCCTACTTTTTGTTTTTAAAGGTTTATATTGCCGTTGTTAACATACACAGTGAAACATATACCCACCCACCAGTTTCTCCATGTCCAATGTAGGCACGTTGATCACATTCGAATGGCATAACCATTCTCACCCTCTTTTCCGAGTTGTTCTCCACCATTAACATAAGCGCACAGACCGATGGTTCTTGTCTCATCTCTCTAGTTGTCAACTTCATCCCCAGGTAGTTCTTAAAAGGGCATTTTTACTAGTTAAGTTAAACTCCTGGCTTGAAGAAGACTTCAGAAAGTCTTAATAATGCGTAATCTAGGTGGTTTGTATTGTCTCACTATTAAAAACAGCAACTGCCAAAAACCCACACACAAAAACCTCCATGTCTTCAAGTCAGCGGAGCTGAACTCATGGCTGCTCCTTGTGGGCGGTGATGCAACTGGTGCTTTGCTGGGTTTTCAGAGGTCGACAGCCAGGCCTTCCCCCACTGTTCCTCAGACAGCCCATGAGCACATTCCCCTTCTGCACTACTCGGGGCCTCCCTCTCCTCCTCAGAACCAGCTGAATGGTTTAAAGAAGATGTATGTACTCTTCCTTTTCCAGCTTGAAAGCTTGAAACAGTCCTTTCACCCATGGCTCCAAGTCCCCCGCAGAAAGAACATGCATCACGGCCGTGCCAGCCCCCTGGGAGATGCTCTTTATGTCTCGCGTAAGAGTGCTAGGACTGCTGCTATGCTGTCACGATACCGGGGGGACAGGTACCATTGGGTCAACACAAACAGATGAAGTTGTGTGACTGGGCCTGAGGTGGGACAGCACCCAGAGGAGAGAATTGATTTTATTGAAAACGGAAATGAGTCTAGGTTTAGAGGACCCTAAAACAGAAAAAATAACCACCTCAGGGGTTATGGTACATGAATGTGAAGTCTTTGTAGACTCTGTTCTTAGTGGTACATAGGGCTCTTATATTTAATTCTAAATGAGGTTTTATGTAATGTTTTATGTAACTAGTGAATGAACATATGAGATAACAGAATGAAGATACCTGTGATACGATTTAGCTAACTGAAAAATAACAATTTAAATAAACGTACTGTGCTTTTAATCCTTTGTTGCAGGATAGTTTTAAAAGTTTATGTCTGTGCTTCCCCATGAGCCCAAAGAGAAAATCTTTCTTTAGGGGAAAGATAGGTATTGATAATGTAGTATATTGGTTGATAATATAGTATATTGGTTTCTACTTCACCATTCTCCTTCATGGTTCTATCTTACAGATCCAATAAGAGCTTGTTGAAGTTACTCTTATAGTTCTTATTTAAAGTTACCCAAATAGGAATTATATATATATATATTATGTACATAAACAGTTCACTATATTTTATGCCCTCTTGAAGGTTTAATAATTATAACTGGTTCTGTAACATCGAAGGCTAGCCCAAACCAAACTCATTGCCATCAAGTGACTTCTGACTCGTATCAACCCTCTAGAACAGAGTAGAAGTGCTTTATTGGGTGTCTGAGGCGGTAAATATTTATGGGAGCAAACAGCCTCTTCTTTCTTCCGTGGAATGGCTGGAAGGTTCGAACTGCTGACTTTGTGGTCAACCTAGAATGCTTAGCCTACAGTACAGCCAATATCCACGATAGAGAATTCAAGCTACGCTAAAGAAATAAACACTTCTAGCACCCAGAAATTGCCATTCCTGTCATCAAATGAACAATTTTTCAGTTATCCTATGTAGCTACATGAATGTAAGGACTGATAGACAATTTGATCAGACCACACTAGAGAAGCTGCCTATAAAAGATTTATTTACTTTATCTTAGCATAAAATACATAAAACATGAATAAAATAAACTTAGAATAAAACCAGAAAAGAAACTGAATGCATCACTAAACTCTTTTTTTAAAAAAATAATTTTATTGGAGGCTCTTAAAGCTCTTATAACAATCCATACGTCAATTGTATCAAGCACATTAGTACATATGTTGCCATCATCATTTTCAAAACATTTTCTTTCTACTCTATCAGCTTCCACTAAACTCTATATAAACATTCATATCAGCAACTATTTTCTTTCCTGAAAGACCTTTCTAGCATTAAAAAGTAATGGAAAACATCAAGAGGTTGACACAGTATTTACAAGTTGTTCAATTTAATTTTATATAATATTGACTATATGTTATGAAAGCTACAGAAACTAGTGTTCTTATTCCCCTGTCTCTCATTTCTCCTATCATTAAAAAATTGTAGTAGGCACATATGTAATAGAACACTTGCCATTTCAGTATTTTTCACTCATATAATTTAATGATAGTGTGTTCCTCATGCTGTGCAACCATCGTTATTTTATTGGCTTATAATAATTTTCATCACCCTTAACAGAAAAGCAGCTCAGGTCTCCATGACCATGAGTTCCCATCCCTCCTTTCCCATTCCCATTCTGCCCAGATAACTGCCAGTAAATAGCTTTACATCTGCATAGACTTAGGCAAGATATTTCTTCTTCCAAGTGCCCATTCCATATAAGTAGAATCATACAATCTCTGCCTTTCTGTGCCTGATGATCATGCCATTTTTAACAGCAAGATTTAACATTCCTATTTAATCCTGAAAAAATTGTTCCTTTGGTGGTTTTGTCTTAATTCTATATTTTAGCTGATTTATGATCACCAGTAGCCTTTTCACATGGTTGCTCTGTATATGAACTCATTTTGATTTATCTTGAGTTAGCTGGATTTTATTGTTGAGTGATTTTTTCCTTTTTTAAACAGCTTCTAGGTTCTTCATTCTGTGAGTTCATTTCTGCTTGAGACTTTTTGTGTCCTTTTATATTTCAAAGACAACTTGGCTGGGTATCAAAATCCTGTTGTGGTTAGGTGCCCTCAGTCAGTTCTTACAGTGACCTTATGCACAACAGTAGGAAACACTGCCTGGTACTGCATCATCCTCACAAGTGTTCTTGTGTTTGAACATAGCTTCCTCTTTATAACTTTATAGATATAACACTCATAGACACTATGAGTGTCTAGAATTATCTATTGCTATGGAATAATCTGAGACCAGCTTGATTTCTGAATGCCTGTACTCACATAATCATGCATATATACTTTTTAAAGTGACTTCCATTGCCTGCCAGTCAGGCATAAACTTCAAAGTCAATCATTCTGTATGTATTTTCTCAAAACATACCGTGTGCCTTTCTGATCTACAGAATTCATAGTATTGTAGCAATGTGCTACACAACCAATCTTAGAACACTTTCTTCATCCATTTCAGGAATAGGATCCACAGGGTCCTTCACATCGACTTTTATCTGATGACTTTAACATGACTGTCTTAAGCTTTCTGTCAACTCAATTCTCGGCTTAATGGAGCCTGTTTCTTGATTTTAACTTATTTTGGACTTCAATTAGTTTCTTTCTCTGTAGTCAAGCTTGCCATCTAACTTTAGTCTATGTCTGAATGCTTGGACCCACATGCTCATTAAATGTGTCGAGTACAAGGCATCATGGGACATTCTCCTGCGTCCAGACATGTTTTCTTCTCCACTGAGTTCTTTGCATTTTACATCAATCTTGTTGTTGTTGTTGCATTACGGAAGTTGGCATGCTGCTTATGTTCCCCCGATTTCACTGAATGAAGACTGCTTCATTTAGGACTTCTACCGCTGGAATGTCTAAGCCTAGCAGGCAGGACAAATAGACTTTATAAGAGGATTAAAAGGTACCTACTGCATACTGGGGCTCTGGGTTTGATTGGTTTGTTGATTGACCAATTATTCTTTACCCTTAATAAAAGAATTTGGGTGTTCCAAACTGGGTGATGCTCTTAGGGCAGAGAGCTCCCCACTGTTGAAATACCAAGCTGTTCTCCACATGTACAATCTGTAGGATTGAAAAACGGAAGGTTATCAGTACAAAAGAGTAACAATCAGCTTCTGCTTCACATATTTTGAAGCTCTGTTACTTAACGCTTGCCTGTTTAGAACTGCTATTTTCTTGGTAGCTTGACCCTTTGATATTCATCTAAGGTCCATCTTTCTCTGGTCATTACTTGGATGTCTCCTTTCTACTTCAGCTCCTGCTCTCTTTGGTCCATGTTTGCATGGCAGCTCAAAATTCCCCCTTATGTCTAATTTGCCAGTATCAGTATATTTAAAGGAGACTTCTTGTAGATAGCATCTCATTAGGTCATGATTTTTCATCTACACTGCCCAATTTTTGTCATTGAATTGGTATGTTTAGATTATTGAAAGGCTTAAGTCTGCATTTAAGTTTTTCTTTTCTTGTTTTGTTTAAAAAAAAAATCATTTTATTGGAGCTCGAACAACTCTTATCACAACCCATACAGCCATCCATTGTGTCAAGCACATTTGTACATTTGTTGTCATCATCATTTTCAAAACATGTTGCCTGTTTGTTTTTCTTGTTGAACATCTTTAAGACTCCCATTTTCACATACCCCGTGTTTTTGGGTGTACCTCTTTCTTAGTGACTCCTTTGTGTCTCTTATTACGTGTGCAAAACTGGTCACAATCAATTGGTGTCATTTTATCAATTTGCGTGAAATATATATAGAAAATGGATTTCCTTTTATACACCCCATAACACTCCTGCATTTAGAACATATTTGTATTAAATCTCCCCTGTACCTATGTTTAGAACCATATTCTAACAGTGTTAAAAGTTTTGCTTCAACCATCAGGTGCATTTTGGAAAACTAGAGCAGTTATGAAAAATGTGCTGTAGTTTTGCTTAGCGCATTTCTTCTTCTTACTGTTCCCAGCTTCCTTCTATCGCTCTTTCTGTGTGGAGCACTTCCTTTAAGCTCCTCTTTCATTTAATGGCACTTCTACCTGGGATAAATTCTTTTTGTTTTCCCTCATCTGGGAATGTATTGGTTCCACCCCCCACCGCCCTTTTAAGGATATTTTCTTAAGTAGTTGACATTTTTCTTTCAGTAGTTCTAAAATGTCATACCACTGTCTGCCTGACTCTGGTTTCTATGAAATCCACCGTTGTTTTTGTTGACTGCTTTTGTTCTCTGAATGGAAATTGTCCTTTTTTTTCTCCGGCTGACTTTCTTGGAGGCTACATGATGGTCTCTTAGCTTTGGTGGTTTATCAATTCCAGGGTTTGGTCAAAGTCCCAGATCCCTTTTCATGTATGTATTTATCTGGTCTGCACACAGGGGTGTCTATGAGTTATTGACTGCAGCTCCAATGCGAGAAGTAGAGCAAAAAGAAAACCCACGGTACTTACCACAAAGTCCTTCTGGACATCTTCCAGAATTATCTTGTGGTTTTTTTACAGGCAATTCTCAGGGGTTTTAGTTGTAGTTATGGGTGAAATAGTGAAAATAATTTTCTCTGTTTTCCTGAAAGCATGGGTCTATGTACCATTTTTAAAATGGAAACACCCCCCCCCCCCAACCATCATAAAGTAGTTTTCTTTACTTTTGGGAAAAGGAACTTTCAGAAATGGTCATATTTGACTTCTACATTTATTGAAGTTTTCTTATCCTTCTCCTGGCCAGTGAGATGTGTGCATCTGTATCTGTGTGTGTGTGTGTGTGTGTGTGTGTGCATGCACACATTATTATTGTAAAAATAACGAGCATCTCAATTTGTAGAAAGAAAGTATCATTGATTTGACTTGGCAATAAATACACATAATGCAGCAAAAAGGAGACCACGATCGCTGCCTTGTAATCCCTGGCATTTCCATTAAGACCCATGTGCTTGCTAAAAGTCTGCCGCTGTTAGTGTATTAATGGAAATAAAATGGAAGGCCCGAGAAGCCAGCCAGAAAATTAATAGGGTCCCGTTCTGGTAGGTGCTTTTGTTCAGCCAAGAACAGGAAATCTAGAAGAAAGCTCTGTGATTTCTGCACCACTTTTTCTTTGCCAACTCTCTCAGAGGCCCTGGCCTTTCAGGCTAACTATCTTTAATTAAGCCAACTACATTAAGGTTATTTATCTTCACATTGCTTTCTGGGAAATACATTGTATGATTTATGTGGACAGGGAAATAAAGTTCTTGAAGACATAACCAGTATTTATCAAATCAAACTAAGATTTA